CCCAGTCCTTCCAAAAGACGCTAATTAAGAAAACAGACCTTATTTAAGGATTCAACCCTCAAAAACATACTCTAATTAACGTCTTTTTCCTTATTTAAGGTGTTTTTCTTGAAAACATACGCTAATTAAGGTTTGTTTTGCGTTAATTAACGTCTTTTTCCTTAATTAAGGTCTTTTTTAAAAAACATACCTTAATTAACGTCTTTTTTTCACATACATTATTTAACGTCTTTTTCCTTAATTAGCGTCTTTTGCTCCTGCGTGAAAACGGTCCTTTTCACTCCTCGCTCCCTCAAGCAAGCGTGGGCAGCTTCTTATTGGCTGCGCAAAATTTTTGCAACATGGTGCGGGAAGTTGTCCTGATGGAAAATTTCCCGCCCCTGCGCTGGGCATGCTTGGACAGCACATGCCCGAAACTTTCGTCACGGTATGTCCATGTGTCAGTCGGCCGCCTTCCCTGGCGGCCGATTTCCATCACCATATGCAGTTTCGGCTTGACTTTAAAGTATTTCTGATTGGGGAACCTACCAAGCTCGACAAGAAGAGTGCCAAACTTCTTAGAAGCTCTCAGGAACACTTGCGGGCTCCATCCATCCCGGCTTAAACAGTCATAACAGTTCTTCAGGTGATGCGCGGTGTGCTTAATTGCCTCCTCAAAGGCATCAGCTGCCAAGTAGACTTCTGAGATCTCCTTGGCGAAAGCAATGAGGTCCCTAGCCTCACCGGCCTTGGCGCGTAGCTTCGGGAACTTAGCCTTCTGCTTGCGTAGCATGAGCGGCGTCAGGCATGGCAGCTTGGATTGGCTGCCACTCCTCTTGTAGTAGCTTTGGATGTCTTTGAAGAGATTGCAGCAACGGTCCTTAGCAGTATCTCCCTCCATTTTCTTGTCCACAATGAAGGAAAACAAACCTCCCAAGAAGTCTGCGGAGACTCCCAAATCCATGGCATGTAACCAGTCCACGCAGCACTTGCGCACACTGAACTTCGGAGCAGAAAATAGCGGACTCATAGCGATGCCGTCGTCCAACTGTCTCTGCACAAACTCGAAGTGAGTGAGATTGCGAGTCCTGGTATAGGGACAACTGAAACTATCTGACGAAAGAAATTAACCCTAAATCCTAAACCCTAAACCCTAGACCCTAACCGAAAACACAGAGCACAGTCCTCCACTGAGCCTCACTGTCCACGTCCTCGAGGTTCTGCAAAGTGGCGTCACAGAACCAACAAATCGGACCATGGCCGGACCAGCCTGGCAGTCGCAAGACTTCTTTGTAGGCCGCCCAATCTGCGCGGACTTCTCCTAAGAGCGCGCGGCAGCCGAGAGGGCGGAGAGCTCTTTGAGTTCTCCAGGCGTCTTGCTGCTTGAACTCTGTGCCGTCGTGGCGCAGCTTCGGGAAGTGCCCAGTGTACAGGCACTGCAAGGACCATGCTGTTATTGTCATGAGGTCGTCCCAGGTGCATGCCGGCATCTGGAAGTGCTTGNNCTGCAAGGTCTGGCTTCGGTCGGAATTAAATGGAACCCCGTCCAGCCACAAGGCCACGAGCAGAACGTCCTCGTCCTCAGCCTGCAGCTGTTCCTGCAGGCTCGGTATCTTGGCCTGCTCTTTGCGGATATTCTCCGCGCTGTTGGCCCGCATGATTGCGTGCAGAACCTCGTGCGGGAGCATCACGGCCAGGCTGTAGGATTCCTCTTTGCCAGTTCGCTGGTCGAGGCCACGGACCTGGCACTCGTATGGCGGAGGCCACACGTTTTGCCGCAAAGTCCGCCGCAGCAAGTTTCGGGCAGTATTCTTTCCCTGTCGCGCGCGGGCCAGGTCCTGGACGCCAGAAGCGCCTGCAGCTTGAGCAAAGCCGCAGAGGCGGCTGGCTCGCTCGGCACTCACGGCGCCGGAGAGGAAAAGCTCCATAGCATCAGCTCGGAAGCGGTCCTCTTCGGGCAACGAGTTTAGGGAGGAAGCCGGGCCTGTTTTGTGCATGCTGGTTTGAGTAGGAGGCGCTACCTATATAGGAGCACCTTCCTTACCAGCGTTTAAGCAACAGGCCTGGCCTCCATCAGCTATACTGCTGGAACACACGCGGCCACGAAAGGCACAGCTTTGTGAGGGATCGCCAAGCTCTTGGCTCTGCAAAACTTCTCAAACCCATAACGCGCAAGCAGTCGGATCGACCTATCAAAGCAAGCTTGTGCCAAAGACCCTTGCAAAAAAACTTGTAACTGTGGCCGCCCTTTTTGACACTCCAAAACTTGCTCGCGCGTCCCACGCGTGCCGGTAGATAACATCTGCATGGCCTGGCCGATGCAGCTACCTTTACAAGTTGTGCTTGGACTTCAAAGCCTTCAAGTAGGCCAGCACGGCTGCCTGGTGGGTGGTCGCGTCCTCAGACAGCTTGGTCAACTCGTCCAGCTTTTCCTCAACCACGGTTGCCTCCGCCTTCTCCCACTGCGACAACTTCACGCGCAGAGTGGTGTTGAGGAACTGGCGCAAGGCCGTGACCTTGTCGAAGACTTCGACGGCCTCTGGCTCCTTAGCAGAGCTCGTTAACTT